GTGATGGTGCTGGGCCATTGGCAACAGAGCGATGGAGTGAATGGTGGCACAATGAACAACAGTGGCCAGACCGAACAATGAGCAGATGGAGGAACGAACAAGGTACCTTCTTGCTCCCCACCTGGGAGATGAACTCATGTGAAAGCACCTCTGAACTCTGAGTCTCCACTGACCAAGGACAACACTGGCGAGTGTTAATGAGGCTGTTAAGAATGCTGGAGACACAACACAGTTCATGCGAACAAACGTGGCCATGGCATCATACTTTCTATTTAAACAAGAGATACCACACACTACAAACTGGAGGCCAATGTTAAGTGCATTGCCACTTGTTCATCCTGAAGTTGAACACTGGTTCCGAACAAGACCAGTAAATGCTCACTATCTTTCTGCAAGAAACTCAACTGACCGGCTAGACGCGTATGGTGCAACAGTGAAAGACTCAACAGTTGAAAAAGTGAAGAACTCTCTCGCCACATTCAAAAAATTTGCATACATGGCTGATGAATGCACCAATGCAAATGGGCATCAAGTATTAAGTCATTGTGTACGTTATCTTGATGTCAGTGGTAGGCCAGTAGATGCATTTCTAGATGTTCAAGTTATAGAAGAAAGATTGGCTGCATCTGTGACAACCCACATCTTAGAAGAGTTAAATGCATGTCAATTGGACCCCAAACAGATGGCTGCTTGTGCATTTGATGGAGCTGCAAACTTCTCTGGAAGACATGGTGAAGCACAAGCTTTGCTCAGAAGAAAGTGTAACCCTAATCTCGCCTATACACACTGCAGAAGTCGTACTCCAACTAGCGCTAGTACAAGCTGCAGACTCTTCAAAAGATATTAAAAAAGCTATAAATTGAATGTCTTCATTATATTCTTTTTTCAGCAAGAGTCCAAAAAGACTGAATATCTTGGAAAATATAGAAGATACACTGGGACTGAAGTTCAAATTAGTCTAACCTGGGAAAATCCTCTGGCTTTCTCATAAGCGATCTTTGGCTGTTGTCTTAAAATTACTCCAGCCGTTATTACTGGCTTTGGAAAGTATCTACCAAGATGGGATGGATCTAAGTAGTGAGGCTGGTGGATTACTTTTGCTACTACATTCAGAGAAGACTATTGCCATTCTCTCTCTTGTAAGTCTACTGTTGAAACCACTTGGGTCATTAAACAATGCCATCCAGGCATCTGCTACCACAGTAGTAGATCTTTGTCCAGCAATAGAAGCTACATTTGGATCAACCAGAGAGCTATCAATTGAAAAAGTACTGGAAGAAGCAAAGACTTCAGTCCAGAAGTTGACTAATGAAGGCATTTATATTGAATCCTTAAGTGAAGAGGACAAGAAGCGTTTAAGACAATTGAAGAAGTACACAGACTTGATTCTTAAAAATCTACAACAGCGACGTCTAGATTCTACTCAACCTCTACGTAGCTTTTACAGATCCCTGTCTTATAAATCACCGACGGTTGAGTGGAGTGAGGCACTATCAGCAATGTGGCTGCCATGTGCTCAGGACAGAATAGAGAATTTGAACACAGAGTGGAGTATCATACGACGAATGAATGAAGATTTGACGTCAACTTCTTTTTTATCATCACTAGTGGCTCGACCCGATCTTTATGCTATGTTTCCTGGGCTGAAATAAGTAGGAATTCATCTCTTGCTACTCCCAGTCACAACAGCTACAGTTGAGCGTTCTTTTTCATCATTGAATAGAATTTTGTGTTTTGAAAGAAGTCGCCTTCTGCCTGATCATGTGAATGAACTAATGAGCATATCAGTTGAAGGAATGGAAGTACCGGACACACAAGAAGCCACCAAAGATGAATGCATTGCATTCAAGAAGTTCATTAACAGAGTTGTGCAAAATTATAACAAGAAACCAAGAAGGTAGTGCTTCATAGAAGGCTTGAGTAGCCAACTTTAATTTGTGTGATTTTAAAATCTAATAAAATGGTCATGAAACATTTTTCAGTTTTTACTATGGTGCCATACAGCCCACCTTCACCCTCACGGTCTCACCCCTCATCGGCCCTGACCCTGCCCCCCGTAAATTTGAACACCCCACCTAATTTCAATTCCCGGGGAAAACACTGCCTGTGAGTGATCTTCCAGTGGTTGCAGAAGTCTTGGAGTGAGAGCAGAAAACTTGGAGAAGGGCTTAACCTGTAGTGGTGTTTGGAGGGCTGCTCTTCCAAATCTGGCAGGCCCAAGTAAAGGTGCTGGATGAGTATAAGAAGGAAGGGCCAAGCAGCCACCTTACAGAATAAAGAGGAAGGTCTGAATTAAAGCAATCAGTGGCCCTAGCCACACTTCACATGTTGTCCCCGTGCGATGGTCCTGCCCGTGGATTCCATCCTTCCTTGGAGTGGCAGCAAGTTTCAGAGTTAAGATGAACGAGGCATTACATTCACACTCTCTGGAGCTATTGTTTCAGGCTGTCTGCATGCTCAGAGAGGCCAGTTATACTTTGTTCACATTTTCAAGTTTCTCTTGCACATGTGAAAACTAGAAACAATTTTTTTTAAATGAGAGCTGAGATTGTGCTCTCATAAGAACTGCCATACTGCATCAGACCGATGGTCCATCTAGTCCAGTATCTTGTCTTCCGACAGTGGCCAATGCCAGGTGCCCCAGAGAGAATGAACAGAACAGGTAATCATCAAGTGATCCATCCCCTGTCGTCCATTCCCAGCTTCCAGCAAACAGAGGCTAGGGACACCAGAGCATGGTTTTGTATCCCTGCTCAACTTGGCTAATAGCCATTGATGGACTTATTCTCCATGAACTTATCTAGTTCTTTTTTGAACCTGGTTATAGTCTTGGCCTTCACACCATCCTCTGGCAGAGTTCCACAGGTTGACTGTGACTCCAGAAGCTGATGTCCTAGGCATGGACCTAATGTAGCTATGCTTTGATATGACTCTGTGACAAGGCAAATGCCTTAGGCTTCAAATCCCATGTTATTGATGTAATAAAGGTAGAGAGAGATTAGGTGAAATTTGAATGTGGCCTATCAGCAATGTTCAAAAGCTGGTGAAATGCAGCCTTTTACGCAGCCTGCAATGCTGGCCTGCAGCTTTGCCCATGTTACCACATTCCAGGAAAGTGCATAGCTGCTGAGATTTCCTAAATAGATGTGGGTGGCAGAAGTAAATGACCACTTGTCTAGAATCTAAAGTCTTCTCTCATGTGGGAAACAGGGTACTAGAGATTTGGTTGGTAAAACAATGGGTTCATAAATAGTTCAATGCTCCAGTGGTGAAAGAATGCATATGTCCAAATGGCTCTAGAGTCAAAGTTCATGGAGAAGTTAAACATTTAAAAACAATTACACATTTAAATAAAAGAACCAGCATTTTTTTCTGCTTTTTCTAAATCTTAGAAATATCAGGAATATTGAGTCTGGGATTCTTCTTAGGGTGCTGTCCCTGGACCCTGCGTGTAGGCTCCATCTTTCATAATAGCCTCCAGCTAGTTTTAAAAGATCATACACCTGTCTTCCCTCTTAATGAGACACCAGAGCCAACGGTTATAGGCTGAAAGTGAGAGGAAAGATGGCTCAAGGCCTCTTCCTACATTAGATTTCTTCCTTTTGTCCTATTTCTACTTCCTACAATATGAAAGTTGACTTTGTTCACATCCTTATATATTTGGTTATTTACAGGTATAAATTGAGTTCTTAAAATATTAGTAAGGTAAAACCTTTCTCCATCCTAAATTGTCTGCTACATTGATCACTGGGTTTTTGGATTTCAGTGCTGGACGTTTCTAGGTGTCAGTTCCTTCTCAGAGGAATATTCTTTTTCTCAGAAACCTAAGCAGCTCAACTTCTTCCCTCTCAACCTCTGGTTTGTGGTTTGAAATGGGAAAAATTTAGTATCAGTACTTTTGATTTATTCATGTTGCTATTCTCAAGAGCTCAAAGAGTAGAAGGCAGAACTCTCCCAAACAAACAAAAATCTTAAATGAAAGTCTCAGGGCTGGGAGGAATCTATTCTGCTTAGGGATAAGCCTGAACCTCACCCCCCATTTGTGCTTTGGCCAGGGCCGGCTCCAGGCACCAGCGAAGGAAGGGGCAGCAGTCCGTCCGTTGTTGGGGTGGCACGTCCGGGTCTTCGGCAGCAATTTGGCGGCGGGTCCTTCACTCCCTCTCTTCCTCTTCGGCGGCAGCTCAATCGGATTTTTCTTTTTCCCTTTGCCGCTTGGGGCGGCAAAAAAACTCGAGTTGGCCCTGGCTTTGGCACAGTTATGCCTGATTGAGGCCTGGTCTACACTACACAATTAGGTTGCCTTGTGTCAATCTAGCTATGGAAGTGTCTTCACTTAAATTTCGCTCCTGCTGACGTAAGTGCCCTTCTACACCGACTTAGTAACACCACCTCCGCAGCCGGTGTAGAGTCACAGTCGATGTAATTAGCTCAACGCAGTGCCAGTGTAGACACTACTGCTGACTTTGACTGTTAATGGCTTTCAGGAGCTGTCCCACAGTGTCTCACCCTGACAATACAATCAATTCAAGCGCTCCTGGTGAAGACGGGCATTGCCCAACACAAGGAGCCAATACTACACCCACACAAGCAATGTAATAACTGTGGCAGCTGTATACTGACCTACCTTAGGTCAACATAATCTTGTAGTGTAGCCATGACCTGAGAGGGTTTTGCTTTAGCAGTGCTTAATTTGTAATGAAACCTGTGCTGGGTCTCAAGCAATTTTTTTTACTTTACTAACTGACGTGGCAAGCCTGGAGGTACCAGGGCGATGAAATGTCAAGCCTAGAGGTGGCTGGGCTCAGCTCGGGCACAAATTAACACTGTTCCTTAAGGCTTAAGCTCCTAGCAGTTGTGGAGGAGGTTGGCTACTCTGGACGCCTGGCTGGGGTAGTTTTTCCCCCTTCCCTCTTCTTCAAATTCCCTCCCGAAGATCTTCCCCGCCCCGTCCGCGGGATATCTAGGCTGCGGCTCCCCCCGTCTTCTCCTTTTCACTCCAGGGGCTGGGCGCGGGCGCGCTCCCCCTCCGCCCCCAGCTGCAGGAAGCGGCTTTCCCGGCCGGCAGAAGGGAGCAGCGTCCCCGGAAGAGCCTCTGCGGCGGGACGGAGGCGGCGCTGTGTCTCTGCGATCGATTGAGGCCGCCTTGGAGGTCTCCCAGCCCGGCCGCAGCGGGGCAGAGGCTGGTGTGTAGTGCCCGGCTCCGGGCCGCCCCGTGGCTGGTGGCGCGGAGAGGGGCGACGAGCGGGGTTGCCCTTACCCGCCATGTGGCGAGTGGCCACAGCCAGGGCCTGGGCCGCCTGCTTGCGGCCTCCCAGACAGTGCCGGGCCCCGGGGCCGCGCTCCGGCAGCAGGGGGGCAGCGACCGTGGCCGTGGAGCCCGCGGCGGGGCTGGCGGACGAGCCGGTGGCGACCAAGGTGCTGGGGCTCGCCCCGGGGCAGCGGGTGACGCTGAGGGGACTCGTGGTGAACGAGCAGGGCTGCCTCTTCGACTCCTGCGCCCACTACCTGGCGGACAGCCGCGGGGAGGTGGACCTGTCCAGGGACACCTCCCAGGGCGGGGACTACACTGGGGTGGAGCCCATGGGGCTGTTCTGGAGCCTCTCCCCTGCCGGTATGGAGAGACCCTACCAGAGGCTCGTGCGGAAGCAGATTAAGACCCCCATGAAGGTGGAGGTGTCAGTCCACCAAGGGCACAGTCATCCTGGCACCATCCCGGGGCAGGTCCTAGCCAAGGCCAATGTGGAGAGATGGTTCACTGCCCCCGGTGTGCGAAGGATTAGGCTGAAAGAGGGCAGCGTGAGAGGCAGCCTGTTCCTACCCTCAGGTGAGTGAGGGAAGCTCTGCCTTTTGTGGGCTGAGGCATTGAATCTCCGGCGGCTTCCCTTTTCTTACGTGTGAAGTGGGATGATGACAATCACTCGCCTCTGTAAAGGGCTTTGACATCCACTGACAGAAGGTGCTTCTAAGTGCAAAGTGTTATGCAAAGTACTATCTCATCTGATTAGTGAGGATGTGGGAGAGTGAAAGCATATTTCTCCTGACTCAAGAGTTCAATAGAGGTTTATAAGATTGGGCCATTTCATTGTGTAAAAATAGTCTAGAAATTGCTCTGAAGCCTTTTATTCCAAAAAGCTGATTTAAATAAGTGGAAGACATGATATAAATGCAAAATATAATTTATCTGAGGACAATCACACAGGATTTCTGTTTGCACAAAACAAGACTGTAAAATAGTCCATGTCCTCACACACATACTGCAGCAGTAGTTTACTTTTTTTTTTTTTTTTTTTTTTAAGTTCACAAGAATAAGATGAATGCTGAAAATGAAAAGGACTAACCCGTGGTATATACTACTATAAATAATCCTGCTGTGTATCTTAGATGTTTATTATAACTGAGTGGTAAAAGCAAAAGATGACAATTTATTAATGCATAACAGAGCAAAAGAAAGGCGGTTGTTATAGATCAGCTCATCACTCCATCTGCATCTGGGATTCCCCATAACTCTGAAGTAAGATAAAGTGTGGTGGAGTTCCCAAAATGTGTAGAAGGGTGATTGAATTAGTGAGAAGTCATGTTTTCTTCTTAACTGGAGATAGTTATGGGCCCAGTTAATCAGGGGCAAATCCCCCATGGATTCCAGCAGGAGTAGGATTGTGCCCTATCCGACACTTCTCTTCATTAAATGCATATAAATATGCAGGCCATCTGAAGAGAGTATAGCAAATACATGCATACCAACTCTTTCTCTTTTATGTCAGAACCAAAACTACTCATGAGTTTTATACTATAAAGGAAGCATTTTGCTAGATTGAGGCCTAGATCATGATCTCTGGTTAATTTAGAGGGTGATCCAAGGTCCATTGAAGTCAGCAGAAAGACTCAGATTGATCTGAATGGACTTTGGAGGCCCTTAGTCAGCACTGTCGATTCACCAATATTGAAACCAGGGTATTTTGCTAAGAACCACATCCACTTTACAGGCATGCACAGGGTTTCCACTGAATTTAGTGGTAGCCACAAGTCTGCAACCTAGAACTAAATTTGTCTCTTTAAACATTCCTGTTTTGTGATGCTACCATATGTAGCCTAGATAGTACCTTTGCTTGAATTATATAGTGCCCTCAGTCACAAGCAGTGGCAATGGAGTATCTTATTCATATACTCAGACCTTCAAGAGTTTCCAAAATGTATAATACAAAAACTTTTAATGCATCTAAAATGTTTTACTATATCCTTCATCTTCCCTCCCAATGGGAACATTCTGTTATATTTCACAAGACACACTTCATCTTTAACTTCTGTTTTTATTAAATTTGTCATTAGTACCATTGTGGAATAGGAAAAATCTTGCATTTAACACTTGTTCACAGAAGCAGAGGCAAAATGTTTGCCACCCTCCTGAAAACTACATCCAAATGTACAGGTTTACTATTCTATTTTGATTCCTCATTTTCTGCACCCAGATGGAGCAAGGAAGTCAGATATACATGTTATAAAAAGGTCTGCCTCTCTTGCAATTTGTCCTGCTGTTCTCAATGGTAGGGTGTACTTCATTAAAGCCCCAATTTTGCCCATTGAAATCATTATTTTTTTTTGCCATTGAATTCAATTTGAGCAAGATCAGGACCTAAGATTCTTGTTTTTTTTCCTGTATTTTCTGCAGTCTGTATGAGGTAAATTGGCGATTCTTTCTCTAACTGAAGAAAGCTATATGTTTCTTTGCTGCTATCAATAAAATTGGAGATAAATATATTTTGTTCTGAGTTGTGTTCCATTCAATTTGCTACACAACCCAGTCTATTGGCACTTATCAGGGCCAAAGCAGATTCCATCTGCAACCTGTGCTTTCTTTAAAGAAATCCATGGCCAAGATTTTCATAAATTGATGCTTGAATTTAGGCTCCTAATTCCATACTTAAGTACCTATATAGGGGCTTGTCTACACAGGCAAATTGACTGACATAGCTCCATAGGCACCATTATGGAATAATAGTCACTTTATTCCAGAATAATTAGTGTGTATCCAAATCAGTGTAATAATTTTGGAATCAAAACACATTTATTCTGGAATAGAGTGGCCACACATGGAGCTATGCTGGAATAGCTATTCTGGTCAATTTCCCTAAGTGACCTGACTTTCAAAAGAACTGAGCACTCAGAAACTCCCATTAAAGTTACAGTAAAATTGATGTTTGAGTCAGAGAGCTGCGTCGTGCTCAGCGTTTCAGAAAGTCAGGACGTTTATACAGGCCTCAGGAGCCTCAGTTATGGCTCCCATTTATGAAAATCTTGGCCTGTAATTTTGGGCCAGAAGCTGTGTAAATTTGCTGTTATCCCGCTGCATTCCTCTCATGCAGCCTTAAAAAAAAAATGTTCCTTTTGGTTAGATAGAAGCCACCTACAACTTACCAATTTTTTTTTTTGTAGTTTAATTAAGGCTTCTGTGATTACCCATGGCTTGCACTGTGAGAATCCCAGAGGAGTTGGACAGAATACATGACCTTAAAATGAATTATACTTCTGTTAGAAGGCTAACTTTACTAGCAAGAGACTACTATAAAACATAGGGGGGAGGTTCAGGTGGAAACATCTGTAGAGCTTTAGCTGTTTATGTTTGATTCCTCATTTTTGATTCCTCATTCCTCAAGCAGTATCAGGGTGAAATTGACATACTTGTCTGTTTCACAGCTGCTCAGAGGGCTGATAGTAGCAGCAATGAAACTGCTCAGTGATTTCCATTTCAATCTGCTGCTTTCATGAATAACTTTATTGCTGAGGAAAAGTGAGAACTGTTAGAATCATAGACGTTGGAAATGAAAAAGAGAACTAGCTCATCTAGTCCAGCCCTTGCACTGCCTGATTTTTCCGTACAATATATTTTCAGTGCTTTGTCTAATTTTAAACGTTCTAAGCAATGGAGCTTCACTGTTCAATAGTCTAGTGAGTCTTGCTCAGAGCTTTCATTTCCAAAATCCCTTAAGAGCCAAGAGGTCTAGTCTTCCATCAGTGCATTATGTTAAGGTGCAGTCACATGAGAATAGACCTGTTCCCTCTCCCAACTCTAGCTCATTGCAGCAACCTGGATTTGAATGGATCAACCATGCCATCTGATGGCCAGTCAGAAAAATACCAAGATGGCTTGTGCTTCTCACAGATCCAGGGGACAGTATTCTTAAACCCTAGGCCAAAGTCTAAACCAGGGGTCGGCAACCTTTCAGAAGTGGTGTGCCGAGTCTTCATTTATTCACTCTAATTTAAGGTTTAGCGTGCCAGAAATACATTTGAACATTTTTAGAAGGTCTCTATAAGTCTATAATATATAACTAAACCATTGTATGTAAAGTAAATAAGATTTTTAAAATGTTTAAGAAGCTTCATTTAAAATTAAATTAAAATGCAGAGCCCACCAGACCGATGGCCAGGACCCCGGGCACTGTGAGTGCCACTGAAAATCAGCTCGTGTGCCACCTTTGGCACACGTGTCATAGGTTGCCTACCCCTGGTCTAAACTCATCAGGTATCCACTGTCTACCATGCTAGCAACATGACTAGAAAATAAATGCATGCCACTGTGCAGTAATTGTGACCCAGATCCACAAAGGCATTCAGGGCTCCTAACTTCCATTGATTGCCTAAATACTTTTGAGGATCTGGGCCAACGAGACTGGCTGCAACAACACATTGGTTTAGCATATGAGCTGCTTCTTCAGGATGAGAAGGCAAAGCCTTTGGAAAGCACATTGGGTGCAGTTAAAAAGTACGTTTACTTGTTTGAGCAGGTGTACCATATAGCTGAAATGGGAAGTATCACTAGTACTGATAATATCTTGCCAGTGGAAAGGTAATAAAAAAATTTCTATTAATTGTGCCTACTGTATTTTGCAGTTCATTCTTTAATATATTCCCTCTAATATCTTGGCCTGATAACAATATTGTTGTTCTTTTTCTCATTTTTGTAGGGGACGGCCCCTTTCCAGGAGTGATCGACATGTTTGGTGATGAAGGTGGATTGATTGAGTTCAGATCCAGTCTCCTAGCCACCCATGGCTTTGCTGCTCTTTCTCTGCCCTATTTTGACTTTGAGGATCTGCCCACTGTCATGAAGGATTTGCACCTCGAATACTTTGAGGAGGCAGCTAGATTTCTACAGCGTCACCCAAAGGTGAGTGTAATGAGATAAATTCCTGTAGACGCATTCGTTTGGATGTGGGGATTGGAGAGAAGACTCATCAACAGTTCTGTGTTGGTAGCAATATGTGTGGGGGGAAGAACAATAGTACATTAATTTCCATGGTACTCTAGGAAATAGCAATTTCTGCTGGCCAGGTCTGAATAGTTATACCCTAGAGTGCAAGAGTTCACAATATTTTACCTGAGTTCGCACCTTTTGTGTTCTCTGAAAAATCGGACACAAACAGGGGAAACAGGATTATAATCCTGGTCTGCATTAACAGTTCCCATTTGTAATTTTCCAGCAGGAACTTAATTTTGTACAATGTTCCTTGAAGAATCCACCACAGTCTCATTAATGCATGTGCTTCTTTGCCTCCACTCCCTTTCTCCCTCTCTTTATTTATCTGCAGGTGAAAGGGCCAGGGATTGGAGTAATCGGGACAGGGAAAGGGGCAGAACTGGCATTTTCCATGATTACTTTCCTGCCGCAGGTGGTGGCTGCTGTCTGTATCTCTGGCTGTAGTGCCAATACAGTCGCTGCTCTTCACTATGGTGAGATGACTCTGCCTGGGTTGCGCTTTGACATGAGCAAGATCAGCATTTCTGAGACTGGTGTGTTTGATATTTTTGACGCTCTGGATGACCCAATGGATCCAGCTAATTCCCACTGCCTCATCCCCATAGAAGAAGCAGAAGGTCATTTTCTCTTGGTGGTAGGAGAAGATGATCGCAATTGGAAGAGCTCTTTATTTGCCAAGATGGCAATTGAGCGCCTGCGCCAACATGGGAAGGACAACTTTAAACTCTTGAGTTATCCAGGAGCAGGCCACCGAATCGATCCACCCTTTTTGCCATTTTGCTCAGTAGCCCTGGACTGTGTCCTAGGGTTGCCCATTCTGGGTGGTGGGGAGAGAAGAGCACATGCCCATGCACAGGAACATTCCTGGGGGAAGATCCAGGAGTTTCTGCACTTACATTTGGGATGAACACCTCATTACCTGAAAGCTGCCAATAAATTGCAGGGAGCTGAGAGAGGAGCCACCCAAGGGAGTAGAGGACTGGGGGAAAAGTTAAATATGCATTTCTTGATCAAATGACAACTCAGTGGCAGGTGTAAACACGGAGATGGGTGAGGATTTATTTAAGGTGGTGGAAGGGGCAATAGCTAGGAGTATTGGGGAGAAATGGAACAATGGAAAACTTCAGGGTTCATGTTAGTAAAGGTTTCCTGATGCCAAGATCACTTTAGACTGGGAAATAATCACCCAAGGAAGGTGGTAGAAGTCCCCTCGCTTACAGCATGTAAAGGAGCCCAGCAACCTGGCCAGGCCTGCAGAGAATGGCAGTTGAGGAGACTCACCTGCACTGAGTGGAATGATGGTAGCCCAAGATAAGATTTTGAAACAGCCATGCCCTGTGAGCTGGACATGTTTGGCTCACCCTTTGGGACTTGAATCCATTAGTTCAGCCCAGATGTCTTCCACTAGCATGTGTCCCCCACAGAGCACTCTATTTTAAAGCTGTAACTGTTTGCTCTGCCTGCTTTGGAAATCTTTTCTATTTGAATTTTATTTGGGGTGCATACCTGGATACATGTGTCTAACATCTTGATGTTGGTTATCAGCTTTCAGCAAGCACAGCCAATGGCTCCTTACACAGCCAATTGGTTGCAAAGAAAGATGAAGTGTTTTCAATGCCTGCTAATGAGAGGGGTAGTGCCAGCAGTGATTTACTAGTTGAGTATTCAAGAGGGACTCATCTCTATCTGTGGTGTCTTAGGCTGGAATCTAATACTTGGCTAGTGGATATTACAGTTCCACTGGATAGCTTGGTTAAATGCAGTTTTGTTATATGCATTGATATATTTCCTTCTTTCTTCCTGCAGTTCAGTCTTCTAACTGCCTGTTTTTAAAGTAGTAATGACTGTTGTTAAATGAGGAATGTGAAGAAGCCAGTTTTTGGAACTGCCTAGTAATGGATAGTGGCCGTCAGTAGCCATTGGATACTGAATAGCTGATACTGATAACCACTATTGAGAGGAGCGGAGGAGCAGATGGATGATTTGAAAAGGGAGCCTGGCCAACAGAAGGCAGTAGAGTCATACACTAAATGGCTGTCATAAACAGCAACCAGCTTAAGTATCAGACAATCAAAAATGAAAAAATCCTGGGATAATTCTCCTGTACCTGCCCAGGAATGAGGGAGCAATTGTGCCCACAGCTGCCAGGGGAATTGTTTCCATTCTGATTAATTTTAGGCTAGTGCCTCCCCTCTTGCCTGTTTAGTAGGCCTGCCCCCTCCCATCATCTTGAGGGAAAGGAATCATAATTTCTTCTTTAATATTTCAGACCTCAGCTAGTCCTCTGAAATAGTGGTAGTGCTAGAAGCCTGGTTCCCAAGTGCCACTGCCAGCACAATTCCCTTTCCAGGGTCCCTGTTGTCAGAGCAGCTTAAAAGAGCTGCCCAGGAGGAAATGGAGCTTTGGCTTGTGACCTTGACTTTTATTTAGTGTTATGGAAACTTCTTTCCCTTTTCTGGTCTGCTGTCAGCATGCTGGTGCTTGGTTATGGTTGAATGGGTCTTGCACGGGGCTCTGATGCCTAAACCTTCCCTGAAAATAGATAACAGGAGCACAGGCCTGCAGCCAGCTCTAATAAGCACAATAGTGCTTCCTGCACTTACGTTACTACTTCTTCACCAAATCTACTCCAGGTTGTGACCAGAGAAGGAGAGGTTGTCCATTGGTTTCCCATGTCTGCACTTTCTAACCCTCCTTCTCACATGTACCTCCACCAATTGGAGCCAGATGCCTGATTGCCTTAGGTTGGGCAGTGCTTCCTGCCAGCCTGTTTTGTTGCCCTCTCAGTGTTGCCTACTGAATCTCCATTGTGTCTTCTTACCTATGCAGATCCACTCCTGCAAGTTCCTGGGACAAGTTTCTAAAATCCAGTGCAATTCTAGTCAAACTGGGCCAGTAAGAGGTACAAGTCCAATCAAACTTCTGGGTTCATGTATAAATAGATTCTGAATGTAGGTATTGTTAGATTTCTCTGATTTTAAATAAATATCACATTTTTCATTAATTATCAAAAAGCCAATGTCAACAGTTGTCAAAAAAAACAAACAAACCAAAAAAAAACAGGTGGCTTAAAATGCCCTCACTTTATTCATAAAGCAAAATCCTCTAAAATTTCATTTTAAATTTTAAAAACCACAGTAAAGGGGCAGGAAAGCCATTTATTAAAACATTTAATATTGTGTAGAAATTAGGCTACTGCTTTATTTTTTTTTAAATTGTTCAGATTTTTCAAAGGGGAGAAGGAAAAAAACCTAAAAGCACTGAATACTGCAATCTGATTGTGTAAATACATCTCACACTCAGAAGAAGATACTAATGACCAAAGAACACACGCACACACACAATGATCTGTAGCAAATTGGTTCTAAAACTCAAATTCTAAAATGCATTTTATTTACACTGCAAATGGAATACCATTATAAACATGCAGTATGCCTTAAAACGGAGTGCCTGGTTATAGCCATATTTAAGACCTTATTTTTAGGCCCTGAGTCTACATTCTTTACTCAGGAAAAACTCCCAACGAATTTCAGTGGAAGTAGTGTCTGAGTAACAAATGCATGATCAGGGATTTTGGGATCCCTAGATCAAGGTAAAATTAATATTGGAGTTGCAGAATTGTTTCAGAATCTCATTCTGTGCAAGAGTGGCTATGGTTCAACCCTTGCACTAGGTTGATAATGCCATAAGTATCCTGCTTCAGCTCTGCTGAAGTTAGTGGCCAAATTCCTATTGACTTCAAAAGGGAGCAAGATCAATCCCAAGGTGTCATATCAACTCAGCTGATGGTTATGCAGTCTGACAAATAAACTACATTGATCCAAATAAGGAGGTTTGTTCAACAAATTACTAGCGATTTGTTCATTTGCAAGTGGGATGATGGAGCTAGTTTGTGTGAACTGACTTTATTTGCAATATTTTGTCTTTTTGCCTGTTTTCATGAATAGCTTACAATAAATTTCTAAAATGTGTTGCTAAAGTGTTTTTTTTTTTTTTCCTTTTAAAACAAAGGTTTGTGGGGAGGAGGAGGAAGTGAAGGCACTCTGCCCATGATCCTATACCAAATATGTTTCTGCTAAAATGGTCAGCAGTGAAATAGTTAAATGATATTAATTTTGTCCCCATGAGGCTTCAGAGATGCATGAGGCAGTTCATACTTCTTAGAGCTTCTGCATCTCTCTTGTCAGTCTCCAGCCCAAGATAACACTGCCTCAGTTACCGTTCTGTTCCCTTTCGCAGAGATTTTCTACTTTCCAGATCCTTCCAAACTTACACAAATCCATCTTGCTTTCTGCCTCAGAAGATTCTAGGGGATCCAAGCAAAGGTCCCTAGTTTCTGTACTTCATCTATGTTACAATGGTTGATTTTTATGGAGATGAGCTTTACTCTTGTCAGTTTAAGATATCCCTTTTCTGTTAGATGACTCTAACGTGCTTTGAACATGAACTGCACTGAAAGTATTACCATATTAACCACTCTAGAGATGCTGAACTTGCATGACAATAGGGTACTCTAACCTATACACTTTAAGTGATTATATGCAGAGGGAATGTCACCAAACCATTAAATTCTGCTGCAGCAAAAGAGCTGAAGTAGGAGACTTGCATGTCTCCCCCATAAAGAAACCAAAAGTCATTTTCTGAGGTACCAGCATTGATAAGGATCCCGTGTAGGCACCATTTGTTTAGGGCAAGTGCATGGGGCTGTAATATGCTTTGTGCCTGAATGAATCAGTCTGTCATGGGAAGCACATGTATTACCAGACAGAGAGCCCGGTTCTCTCCTTTCCACACACTTTAAGATGCAGCACTTGAAACTGCTGCCAACCCAACAGCCATACCTGCCAGCATCCCATCTTGGCCACTAGACACGGTAGCGATGTCAGCCAAGTTGGGTGGGGGATCACTAGCCTGTCCCCCAGAGCAGCCGCAAGTGGCAAAGTGAAGGGGGCCCAGCAAAGCGCACAGGGCCTGTCAGGATGGGCAGACAGCAGCCATCTGACACCCACTGCACACTCACCACAGAGCGCAGCGGAGAACTGGAAAGACAATACCTGGTATTCCACAATGCACCGTGCATGTCCGGTGAGTGTTGCCAAGTCCCACAAGAAAAAAAAAAGCAGCACTACATTTCAGAACAAGCACACCCCATTTCAGAAGAGGTGTTTCTATACAAATTCCATGGGTTTTTTTTTTTTTAGTAAACATAAGTCCACACAAGTGTATGTAACACTTCTCCAGGTGGAGTTGGTAGCAACCAGGACCAGCTTCAATATCTAGGGCTTTTTCTTCAACACCACCACAACACAAAACTGGCTCAAGCCCCCACCCAGTACTTGGGACAATTACATGCTGTGGGCTGCAGCTCCTGATGCTGTGTTACCTTGGTCTGGAGACACACAATAGAGATGCAAAAGCTTAAACAAAGTAAACTAACTGGAAAAGTAGCAAAAAGAAAATGCTCTAAACCCTACAGTTCAAACTGATGTAAGGGAATCAGTTAAAATAGTAGGCAAACAATTTTCAGAAAATGAGATTTTTTTTAAGTTCATAATGCCCCTTTAAATTTGTTTGTTAAAAAATAAAACAAAAAACTCTTCTCTTTGCAATACTAATAAGTATGAATGTGAATCTTCTGTGTTATCTTAACGAACAGGGAGATTAGTGAAAGGGGGTGCGTGGGTGTGTATGACTAAGCAGTTGTCTGTGTTTAACCAGGTATGCTATGGCAAGGAAGAGAGCATCTCTAGCCTTGAGATTGTGGGGAAATAGCTGTTTGTCTGTACAGAAAAGCAGTTTATACGTAGAAGGAATTTCTGAATGTCTATCTAATATCTCAGAAATGAATGTGGAATTAGATGAAGCACAGGAAGAACTTATTGCTCAGGAAAGTGTTTCTTTAGAGCAGATTAAAGTTAATAGTCACGTTAAAGCCCTAACTGAGGAAGGGAACGGCAGATTTTTTTGTGGGTGATGGAATGCTGAAAAGTAAAGCTTGTGCAAGCGAGCCAGAATAAAATAGAAGTGATTTGCTTAAAGTAGCTCAGTATGATGAACCACTGTTTGTGGTAAACAGCTGTTTATCTGTTGAGGGAGACACTGTCTCCAATTGTTTGTCTGTTGGGAGTGGCAACTTGCCTGTTAAGGAAGTCTTCCCACTCTCCCATGGCTGTAGTCAGCCAGGGATGCTGGGATAAGGGAGAGAAAGGCAAAGAACATTTAGGTGAGCCTAGGCAGTTTTGTGAGCTGATGGCTTTGTCTAATCAGCAGTTTGGGAAGGCAAGGTTAGTGAAACTTGAGTATCTCTATGCCTTACCTGTTACCAGTGTGAAGAGTTGTGAGAATGAAGGAAATGTTCCTGTGTCTGTTAGCGGTAATGACTCGCCTATGGAGGGAGCTACTCCAATCTCCAAGCATTTATCTGTGAACAACCATGTGTGCTGGGACAAGGGAAAGGAAATCCCAGATTGTTTGTCTGTTGAGACTAGCAGCATGACTGCTGAGGGAAAGTTTGTCTCCAGTCTTTTGTCTGTGGAGTAAACAGAAAGTGCCTCTCAGCTTATGCTGGTTGTGGAGTTGTCTGTTGTCCCAGAGTTGGTTATGGACTTAAATGTCTACTTCCCTCCTGGGTTTCAGTTGTCTATGGTCCTAGCATAGGCGTGCGCAGCACATTTCATTAGGGTGGGCACCCAGGGAATTTTTTTTAAAGGCGAACATTTATTGAATACTCAATCATAAAAGGACATTATTTTTATTCATCAAGCAAACTAAAGAAACTAAAACTTAACTAAACTTAATTTTTTTAAATTAACAACTAAAAACTTTATTTAAAAAATACAAACTTAAAAAATGAGACAAAATACCAATTTTTTGCTGTAGTGATAATTAGGCGTATACAAAAGATAGTCAATTTTCATGATCATTATCTTTAACCAGATAATGAGCTAACCCAAATTGACCAAAACAGATTAAGGTTTCTTCATCT